AACAAACGAACAAACAAACAAAAAAAAACCCCATAAATTCTAAGTCTAAAGATTTTGTTTCCAAGGGAGTCACTAAGCTTCCTTCTTCCAAAACACTGAGAATTGTTATTCCAGGGAGTAAGAAAAAAGCAAAACAAAACATCTACAACACACTCAACTCTGTACCATTATCTTGTCTCTGAAAATAATGACAGCAGGATCACAGGCATGAGCCAAGAACCCTCCCCTCCACTTGTCTCTTTACTGAGATAGCCTCATACCATTCCCTTGGTGGGGAGAGCTGGGGAGAGCTGGGGAGTGAAGCATTTCTAGAAAAAGTAAAAGCAATTATACCCAGAGTAAATAAGACTTGGGAGTCTGAAATAATGCTATGCCCCAGATTTTACTCGGTGCACAGTAAGATACTCAGATTTGCAATTCCTCCTCATGTTCTGAGCCTGTCCAAGTGTGGGGTAATTCAGTTACATCCACTGCTTTTGTCAGTACACAGTTACAAAACTTTATTTGAATACAACATGAGAAACCGGGCTGCCCATCACAAAATTCACATAGCAAAAATATACCTTTATTACTGTTAGGAGGAACAAAGACCATGATTCTCCAATGGTAAAAAAGAATTGATCATGGTCAAGAGACCATTTAAACCAGAACTAAAGAAACTCTTTACTCATGTGAATTACAAGAAATGATTAAAAGCCACTATGTGCTAGGCTCTGTCAGGGGCTAGAATATAAATGAACCTTGGTGCCTGCTCACAAGACGTTTACAATCAATTAGGGAAACCGAAAGTAAATACATTTAAGGTTGTACAATGTTCTAGGATTTAAATTGTGTGTCCACGGTGCAAAGAGAGTGGATGGAGTCATCCGGGTAGAGGGTCAGGAAGCCTTCTTCAGACAGAAGATGGCCTTTGCCATGAGGACTGTCCAACAGACACATGGTGTGGGACAGGCACTCAGGCAGAAGCAAGAATGGGAGCAAAGACATAGTGGTAGAGATTTGCCTGGCTAGTTAGGCCAACCATCATTTATATAGGCAAAGGCTACTATAGCGGGGGGATGGGGGATGGAAAGAGGGAAAGGAGAGTCGGTAGCAAGAGATAAAGTCACGGAGATAGGCTGCAGGCCAGGTATGGTCCCTGAAGCACCCAGAACTCTGGTTAGGAAGATCATCCTAGCAACTGGCACAGAATATGGGTTTGAAGGTTCCAGACATTAGCAAGGAAGCCACTAAGATAATATTGTGACAATATAGATGAATGAATTGGAGGGAATAAGAATGCTTAAGGAGTTAGAATATAGAGTGTGATGTCTACATGGGTCTGAGCTCAGCCACCCAGATCTCACTGCCTACTGCATATGTCCTCCTAGACAGATGTCCTACATGCATGTAAGAGTCTGGATGGTCCAGATGCCTGCCCCTGCACAGACCTGCACTATCTATTTCCTTAATGACGCCACTGTCTATTCCCACTCAAGGCAGAAACCTCCCTCTTCCTTGGAGAAGGTCAAGTTGATTTTAGTTCCAAAGTAACTCATTCAAACTGTTCCATTTCATTGCCACTCCCACTCCCCTAGTTCAAGTTATCTCCATTTCTCTTTTATTTTTGCCCACATTTTATTTTTGCCTCTGGTCTTGATTTCTCACATTGGTTTTCTAGTGGGACAGTGATTTGTCTAAACTTCATTCTCATCTTGATTTAAAATACTTCAGAAATTCTTCACTGCCTTTAGGTCCAACAGACCTCTTCAGATGGCTTAAGACATCCCCACTGAACTAGCACATTCGCCTCACAAACCATGTTCCATTTGCCAGTCCCTGCCTTGGCCATCCTATACTAGCGTGGCTCCCCCGAACAAAGCATGCACCGTTATACCTTTGCTCTCGTGGTTCCCTCCACATGAGGTAGTACTCTCCATCTCTTCCCTTCACCGGGTTAACTAGTACTATTCAACAGCTCTGAGCCTAGATGTCACTTCCTCCAGGAAGCTTTCCTGACCTGACCCCCACATCTGTGTTGGTGACTTTCCTCTGTGTTCCCAGCATACTCAATCAAGACACACGCCAAGTGACTTGGAAACTGCCTGGTATTTGTCTCTTCACCCCACACCGCACCACCACCTCTACTTTTGATCTCTAGACAGTGAACTCCTCAATGTCAGGACCCATGAGCAACTTGTCTTCTTGAGGAATCCCCATCCTTTGGCTCACAGCTGGGTATTTGATGGTTACTCAGGAAATGTGCAGCCTCAGGGACTGAGACAAGCAAAGGTCCAGAGACAGAGTCATGGGGGTCCTGTGCATTTGATGGGCAGGCAGAGAAGAAACCCTCCAGAGAGATTAAGAGCAACTGTCAGCAACAGAGCCAAGACAGATCACTGGCTGCTGGGCAACAGAGGGTCACTAGAGAGTGTCAGGTGTCAAGGGCAAGGTCAGTGAGACAAAGGATGAGGAAAGTGCTCTGCATTTGGCAAGACAGCTTCCAGAAAGCAATGGAGAAACGTCTTGGAGCAGGCGGCTGAAAAGTGAGTGGCAGGCAAGATTAACACAGGGCAAAAAACAACTTGGGAACACATGGCTAGAAAGTGGGTGAGGGACCATGATACCTGGGAGTTACAAGGGCAACGAGGGAATATTTGTGCATATATACATGTGTGTTTGTGTGTGAGTTACAGTTATTTAAAATCTCAACTATAAAACTGACTGGCAAAGAGAGTGAATAGTGAGGCAATATTCAGGTACAGAGTAAGCATTTATCAAATGAAAGATATAAATAACAAATGAAAAACTGCATTCATAGAGAAGATATACATCCTCAAAACAGATTTTTATCAAAATGTAAACTGAAAAGATTGAGCCCATCTTAACGTTTCAGAAAAGACCACTGAGCTCATAAATCAAAATTTAATTAGCTGTCCAGATCACTATTTCCACTACCTATAGCACTACTGCCATATCATGGAGATATCTATTTTCAAAGTCACCCTAAAATTTCCTTGCAGAGATCTTCAGACTTTATATATGCTCTACTAACCCCATGCATTCACATAAATAGCCTTAGCTTTCTATCTAGTAAATGCCCCAAAGTCAAATGGGACACAGAAAAATATTAGGGAAAGGACACTTCTGAGAAACCAATAAAGTCATCTGAGATACAGGAAAGTCTAACCAATAAAGAAAAGTGCCTGTGGACCAAAAGCCACACTTTTCTTTACAAATAGGTTTTTTCTTTTAAGTCCTTATCAAATATAAAGTTTTGTCAGGCTGTCATGGTATTCATTTCACTTACAATGTTTAAAGAACACATTGAGGAAAACAGACTTAAAACATTAAATTACTTTTCATGAGACATATGCTTCTTATGCAATTAACAATACATTCAGCATCAATAAGCTCCAATTTTAGAAACACTCATCCATGAACATTAATCAGTTAATGGTAAATTCAATTTCTACTTAGCTTCTACTTTTCACGCTCAACTCTCCAAGGCTATACTACATGGTATCTCAAAAATATTAATTTACTTACTACAAAAGCAGATTACACTCTTAGAAACCATCTGTGCAACAAATATATTTGCATGTAAGTCAAATCAAAGTTTTATGGAAAAACAATTTTCTTATGTGGGACTGTATTTCTGACCAAACACCTGATCCCAAACCTTTTAGAGAAATGACAATAAAATTATCTGTATAATCAGATTGCAAATAATATTTCAGAATAGGTCAAAGTTTCCCAAAATGCATATATATAGAACAACACATAGATTTACAATATATTGCCTACACAGAACTCAGTGATCTGGCATGGCCTTATTCAAGGAGGTCACTGCTGGGTGGTACAGTTTTTCACTGTACAGACGGTCCCAGAGATTACAGATTTTGGCCAGAAGCACACCACTAGGCATGATGACAACCGAAGAAACATGCCCACATATTGCCAAATGCTCTCTAGGGGAATAATTACTGTCCCAACTAAGAACCGTCACGTCTCTCTGGTTTACAGAGGAAACTTGAGCCCACACCAAAGGAACTGCCCACACTGACATCACTGGATGATGATAGTGCCAGGCCTCCAACCCAGGTCTCCAGGGAGCCAGTGCCACAGAGAATCCAACAGAGAATGTGAGATTAATGGACATGCTCTTACTATATTTTAAGTTCAGCCTTACTCTTCCTGCTTTAGGCGACTTGTTCATCAAATACTTTCTAAGCTTACATCTAGTCATCATTTTAACCACTCACCAATTCCCCTGCCCCATTTATTCATATCTTTCCCTGATCTCAATCTTGGATCTACCTCATCTTGACTGAGTCTGGGTTCTTCTCCCTGAGGACAGGGTAGAGGTGTCAGCACAAATCCAGGGCTCCAACCGAGTAGCCCTGATAGATGAGTGTTCTCTGCCACTGTCACCTTAGGCTCCCATTCATTCATACTCGGTTTCTTCCATGCCAGCACTGCCCAGTCAGCAGGTGGCATCTTCCATTTCACAGAGAAAATAGAGTCCCCCACTTCCTTCTGCTCCACCCACAAATTAATCTACCTTTTTGACTGAAATTTGACTAGTCTGACGTGAAATGTAAGAAGGCATTTCTCTGCCTTCCCCATCTCTCCTATTTTTCTTTGTTTCTGTTTATCTTATTGTTCCTCCAGCATCAGACTAAACAGCCACTGAATTTGGAGTCATGCAGGTTTTTGGTAGGTAGTTCACTTTTGTTCCCTGTTATTTAAGAGTTTTTGTCATAATTCAATATTGGACTATATGAAATGGTTTTCCAGTATCTAATGTATTTTTTAACGCCATCAAAAGAAAATAATTAAAAGTTAAAATCCCCATTTCAGTCCCGATTGATCTCAATTCTGATTTTTTTTTTTTTTAGTTTACTAAGAAAGCCAGAAAATATGGGATGATTCATCTAAAGCTAATCCCTCCGTATTTGTGCGTTTGAAATTAACATTGAGTAGGAAACACAATATCTGAAAAGGGCCTTCATACTTACCCGGATATAGGCATCTTGGTGGTGCTTGGCAAAGTACAGCATGTTGTCCAGAGCCAACATCCCAGGTGGAGTCTGCGTGAAGTCCATGGCAGGGTTGACATGATTCTGTGAGTAAAACAAAATGCATGATAAGGTGAATTCTTCAGCAGATTTCACCAACCACCAGAGATCCAATTTCCCTCCTCGAGAGTGAAGTACTACAAGGCAAGCTACAAATAATCAAACATGATGACATTTTCTATCTCCATGTAAACCTACTGAGGTGGATGCAGCAACTTCTTTCTACTGCTCCTCAGGATAGCAAAACCAGATTTATACCTGGGATTAGGAAACCGAGCTAAAGATTCAAATACAGGATTATTCTTAGACATGTGACATTGTGAGAAAAAGAAAATGATACGAAAATTATTTCTGGTAGCTGCACTATAATGAAACCAACAGCATTTGGGTAGAAAAAGCTGGGATAAAGCCACACCTCTAGTATTTAATTCGGAAGCTGACTCCAAGGAAACTATGGCCTATTCACACCTTGACTCCGCATCCTTATGTGGGAGCTTAAATACAGCCGCATGCATTGATGGACTTTGTGAACTGTCCAGATTTACACAGTCCATAGGCCTCTGAGCACAGGCACCAGATAAGTTCAGATATCCACAGCGTCCTGACATCTGTCTGCTCTCAGGAAGTCTGAGAACCTTCCTCTCTGGTCTTTAGGGTCACCATACACAGCACACAGAACCCCAAAGGTGAAATAATAGTTGCAGATACGCAGAACTCAAACACCTCAGCAAATGAAAAACAATCCAATTTAAAAGTGGGCAAAAGACATGATTAGACATTTTTCAAAAGAAGACACACAAATGGCCAACAAGCATATAATGCTCAACATCAGTAATCATTGGAGAAATGCAAACAAAAACAACAATGAGATACCATCTCACACCAGTCAGAATGGTTATTAGTAAAAAGGCAAAGAATAACAGATGGCAAGAAAAGGGAAAAAAGAAAATGCTTATATACTGTTGATGGGAATGTAAATTAGTGCAACCTCTATGGAAAACACTATGGAGATTTCTCAATAACTAAAAATAGAACTACCATTCAATCCAGCAATTCCACTACTGGGTATCTACACAAAGGAAAAGAAATCATTGGCTGGGCACGGTGGCCACTCCTGTAGTCCACTTTGGGAGGCTGAGGCGGGTGGATCATGAGGTCAGGAGTTTGAGACCAGCCTGGCCAACATGGTGAAACCCCTAAAGATACAACAAATTAGGTAGGTGTGGTGGCACGGGCCTGTAATCCCAGCTACTCAAGAGGTAGAGGCAGGAGAATTGCTTGAATCTGGGAGGCGGAGGTTGCAGTGAGTCCAGATTACGCCATTGCACTCCAACCTGGGCAACAGGGCAAGACTCTGTCTCCAAAAAAAAAAAAAAAAAAGAAAGAAAGAAATCATTATACCAAAAATCACCTGCACTCTTATGTTTATTGCAGTACTATTCACTATAGCAAAGATAGAGAATGCACCTATGTGTCCACCAATGGATAACTGGATCAAGAAAATGTGGTACATATACATAATGGGATACTATTTAGTCATAAAAAAAGAATGAAATCATATCTTTTGTAGCAACATGAATGGAACTGGAAGCCATTATTTTAAGTGAAATAACTCAGAAACAGAAAGTCAAATGTCACATATTCTCACATAGAAGTGGGAGCTAAATGATGTGCACACGTGGGCATAGGGTGTGGAATGATAGACAACGCAAACTCAGAAGGCTGGGAATTGGTGGGATGACAAGAAATTGCTTACTGAGTACAATGCACTATGTAGGTGATGGGTACACTAAAAGCCCTGACCTCCCCACTATGCAGTATATCTATGTAACAAAAGTACACTTGTACCCCATAAATTTACCCAAATAAAAAATAGTTACAAATATGCCTAAGAGGAGAAGATCTGGCTGATCTGAACTCTCCATATACTTGAGATCACTCAGCAAAAACACCACAAGACTCTTAGTAAGATTAGCAATTTACTCTTCACCATTAATTACTGAAAACAACGACCAAGAACTATTCTGAAAATTCAGATCTGCCATTTTTTCCAAGAGGGTGGATAGGAGGCAGGATTAGTTGCAGCTTCCACTCGGAAGGATAGAGCAGCATGTGGAGACTTACACCATGAACTTTTGTTCCAAGAACTAATGCAGGAACATACCAGGAAAGCTGAGATAATTCACAGACGCTTTGAAGGAACTGGATCACCACTGCAGGCTCCCTGGGAGGCAACCAGCACACTAAACAAAAACATAACCAAGGACCCACACCACTTCACTCCCCTACTAACTCCACTGAAGCAGGTGCAGTTATCCATGGCTGCAAGACCTGAAGACCGATCATATCGCAGGACTCTTTGCAGACACGTGCCAGTACCAGCACGGAGCTGGGTAGCTCTGTTGGGTGGCTAGACCTAGAATAGCAAACACAATCACTACAGTTTGGCTCTTAGGAAATCACATTCTTAGGAGAAGGGGGAGAACACCACATCAAGGGAGCACTCTGTAAGACAAAAGAATTTGAACAGTAGTCCTTGAGTCCCAGATCTTCCCTGTGACTTAGTCTACCCAAATGAGAGGGAACCAGAAAAACAATTCTGGTAATATGACAAAACAAGCTTCTTTAATACCGCAAAAGATTATACCAGCTCACCGGCAATGGATCCAAACCAAGACAAAATATCCGAATTGCCAGAGTAAGAATTCAGAAAGTAGATTATTAAGTTACTCAAGGAGGCAGCAGAGAAAGGTGGAGTCCAATTTAAAGAAATAAGAAACAGGATACAGGATACAGGAAAGAAAAATTCTTCAGTGAAATAGACAGCATAAATAAAAAACAATCAGAACTTCTGGAAACCAAGAACACAGTTAGAGAAATGCAAAATTTACTGGAAAGTAACAGCAATAGAATTGAACGAGCAGAATAAAGAACATCAAAGCTCAAAGACAAGGCTTTTGAATTAACCTAATCCGTCAAAGACAAAGAAAAAATACTTTAAAAAATGAACAAAGCCTCCAGGAAGGATGGGACTATGTTAAACACCCAAACCTAAGAATAATTGGTGTTCCTAAGGAAAAAGAGAAATCTAAGTTTGGAAAACATATTTGTGGCAGTAATTGAGGAAAACTTCCCTGGCCTTGCTAGAAATCTAGACATCCAAATACAAGAAGCTCAAAGAACACCTGGGAAACTCATCACAAAAATATTATCACCTAGGCACATAGTTAACAGGTTATCTAAAGTTAAGACAAAAGAAAATCTGAAGAGCTATAAGGCAAAAGCATCAGGTAACCTATATCGGAAAACCTATCAAATTAACAGCAGATTTCTCAGCAGAAAACTTACAAACTACAAGGGACTGAGGTCCTAATTTTAGCCTCCTTCAACAAAATAATTATCAGCCAAGAATTTTGTATCCAGTGAAACTAAGCTTCATAAGTGAAGGAAAGATACAGTCTTTTCCAAACAAACAAATGCTGAGAGAATTCCCCACTACCAAACCAGCACTATAAGAACTGCTAAAAGGAGCTCTAAATCTTGAAACAAATCCTCAAAAAAACAAACAAAATAGAACCTCCTTAAAGCATCTATCTCAGAAGACCTTAAAGCATAAATCTCACAATACATATATATTGTGTATATAACAATAACACAATGAAGAAAAACACAAAGTATTCAGGCAACTAATAGCACAATGAATAGAGTAGTACCTCACATCTCAATACTAACACTGAATGTAAATGGCCTCAATGCTTCACTGAAAAGATACAGAATGGCAGAAGGGATAAGAATTCACGAACCAAGTTTCTGCGCCTTAAAGAGACACATAAGAACTCACATAAATTTAAGTTAAAGGGGTAGAAAAAGATATTCCATGAAAATGGACAACAAAAGTAAGCAGGAGTAGCTATTCTTGTATCAGACAAAACAAACTTTAAAGCAACAGCAGTTAAAAAAGACACAAAAGGATATTATATAATGTTAAAAGGACTAGTCCAACAGGGAAATATCACAATACTAAATATATGTGTATCTAACACTGGATCTCCCAAATTTATAAAACCATTACTACTAGATGTAAGAAATGATATAGACGGCAACACAATAATAGTGGGGGACTTTAATACTCACTGACAGCACTAGAAAGGTCATCAAGACAGAACGTCAACAAAGAAACAATGGACTTAAACTATACCCTACAACAACTAGACTTAATGGATATTTATAGAACCTTCTACCCAATAACTGCGGAACACACATTCTATTCATCAGCACATGGAATGCTCTCCAAGACAGATCATATGATAGGCCACAAAACAAGTCTCAGTAAATTTTTTTTTTTTTAAGGCAGAGTCTCACTCTATCACCAGGCTAGAGTGCAGTGGTGCAATGTCACTCACTGCAACCTCCACCTCCCAGGTTCAAGCAATTCTCCTGCCTCAGCCTCCCAAGTAGCTGGGATTACAGTCGCATGCCACCACGCCCAGCTACTTTTTGTATTTTTAGTAGAGACGGGGTTTTGCCATGTTGACCAGGCTGTTTTGAACTTCTGACCTCAGGTGATCTGCCCAGCTCGGCCTCCAAAAGTACTGGGATTACAGGCATGAGCCACTGTGCCCGGCCCAAGTCTCAGTAAATTTAAGAAAACTGAAATTATATCAAGTACTCTCTCAGACCACAGTGGAATAAAATTGGAAATCAACCCCAACAGGAATCCACAAAACCATGCAAACACATGGAAATTAAATAACCTGCTCCTGAATGATCACTGGGTCAACAGGGAAATCAAGATGGAAATTAAAAAATTATTTGAACTGAATGATAATAGTGACACAACCATCAAAACCTCTGGGATACAGCAATGGTGGTGCTAAGAGGAAAGCTCATAGGATTAAATGCCTACATCAAAAGTCTGAAAGAGCGCACACAGACAATCTAAGGTCACACCTCATGGACCTGGAGAAACAAGAGCAATCCAAACCCAAACCCAGCAGAAGAAAAGAAATAATGAAGATCTGAGCAGAACTAAATGAAATTGAAAC